AAGCCAGTTATAAGCTGAGCTGTGTAGTCATCATTGTTTTATGTGGTTTCATTTGGTTTATTAAAATTACCTTCCTTATCAGTTACCTTGTGAAGTCCTTCTACTAAGAAATGTGATTTTGGATGACTACTTCATGAGGTTCTAACTGTTAGTTTGACTTAGCGTTTTCCCAAGGAACAGCTATAGGAAGATTGGCCTGACGAAGGTGTCATTTATCCAAATGGGACTGAACCAAGATCACTCATTTCTGCTCTTCTAAAGAGTAGAACCAAGGATGTCCTTTAATCACTCCAGATTAGATTATATGATTCAGTTAGGTGTTCAAACTCTTGTATGTATTGGATGGAATCTGAGAAGAAGGAGTTCGTATGCTGTTTCTTTGGGAGAGATCTGTCAAAGAGAAAGTAAAGAGAACTCTCAGAACTCCCTTTGTGTGTGGTAATTTTAGAAGTGAGCCCTAGAGGGCAGGGGGCAAGAATTTGGAGCAAAACTGCAACTGAGGTAAGGTATACTGGTACAAGGTGAAGTTTAGTGGGTGTAGGTTATCAAGCAGGATTACATTCAACAACAACAACAATAAAAAATGCCAGACAAATAGAGAGAAGAAGCACCTGATTGACAGGAGACATCAAAGGACAGAATGGCTGTAGATGACATGGGAAGCTCTTAGTGGGTGGAAAAGCAGTTATAGCATCAGGTGTCCATAAAGGAGGACAGAGGACTGCAGCTGCAGCTGCAGGACTGTGTAACATCCATTAGATGTGTAGTTAGAGAGAAGTCCACATCTCATGAAGATGGTGTAGAGCAGGGGAAAGAAAGATTTTGGAGAGGTCAGATGAGGTGAACAAAATTGGAAAATTAACGGTGTAAACAATGCTTCAATGGAGGGGAATATGAAACATATTTTAGCCCTGAGCAATAATTGTCCCCAAGAATGAAGGGATGAGAGGTATCATTTTTCTGGGTACATTAAATTATTTCCCAGTTTGTACCTGGCCTTGTCGTTTTGCACAGAAAACATTAGAGGTATTGCTTCAGTCTGGGTTGGAGTTGAAGATGTTTTAGATATTCTGAGATAGACTAAAGGGGAGGAAGTAATAGCATGATGGCTTCTCATCAGGAACAGAAGGAGGTTACTGTCACATTTATTTTGGCAAAATAAGAATAGCAACAGGGCATTTAGTGGACATCTTCACTTGTACCCAAGGGCAAAAAGGAGAGTGGGTGAGTAAGCAAAACTGTTGACAAATCAGTTTATCAATTGCTAGTGGAAAGTAGTCTCCCCAGGAAGTGTCTATGACCAGAGCTAGGTTTCAAGGAATGGAGAAGTGGGGCTTTCCTGTGTCCCAAAGGGGTGAGGGGAGAGTCAGAACTAGATAGTAGCTGGCAGCAGAGAGGTCAGGCATACAAATGGTTAAATATGTAGTGGTATTGTGGCATAGGAGGGTGCCAGTGGTGGTAGGATCTTTAACCCATAAGTGAGTGTTACAGGGCCGAAAAGGGATAGAAGTCTGAAGTTGTCAGTGTGCTAGATACTGGGAGCTCCCTCTAGCACCAGAGCAATGTCTGCATACAAGGTCCCCATATGGATTCTGTGGAAAAAGCTTATAGATAGGGTATAGTACCCTCTAAAGAGGGATGCTCTTTATTATCTCATGTTTTGCATATAAAGTTAATTAATGGCATGTGAAGAAATACCCAGTAACTGAGATTATGGCAAACAGTGAATTGAATTCTTAGTTCAGGCAGGCTGAAATTAGAGTTATATTAGCAAGTATGTAAGGAGGCTACATATGGTAGTATTTGGGTTTGGTATGGATACTCCCAAAGAATTTGGATGAAATGTTTGAGGTCAAACCTCCCCGGATGATTAGCATAGGTTTGTGTATAACCCTGTATCATTCATCATCAGGAGGACTGCAGGTCCACTCCCAAATTTCTTCATGGTCTCCAATTCAAATTTGGGGATAGAAGCCTGCATTCCAGTGCTTGTAGAAGGCAGCATGAAAGTCTCTGTCCTTCAGGTCTAACAAAGACAGCAAAAGCAAGCAAGTGAAGACTGCAACTCTTTTTACCCATTAGGTATCATTAAGTTACACAGGACAGGCAACACTGCCTTATTCCTAGTATCCTTGGGCCTAGAATGAATCAATCCTAGCCTCAATCAACCTAAATCCAGCCACCTCTGACAAGGCTCCACCTATGACTTACTGAGGCTCTCAGAGGACATCTAGACAAAAACCATAACATGATGCATGAAATGCCTTCCATTTTTCAATTTTTATTCTATGAATTTCTCTTTGAATTGGGTGAGCTTTTGAATGTAACACATTTCTTAATTTTGCTTTTTCTTTTAGTTAAGTCTGTCACTTTCAGTCTTTTAAGTGGAGGGTTCAGGGTGTTCACATTGAGTGATACTAATATTTTTGTTATCTACTTTCATTGAATTCTTTATCTGTTGGTTTGTGCTTTGGAATTTTTTTTCATGATTTTTTGTTGCTGTATACCTATTGACTTATTAGTATCTTATGTGTGCTTTAGTTACATCTGATTTATTGTTTCTTTCAAAAATATGCTTATTTTCTCTACAGCTGGTTTAGCATGCATATATCTTGTGAGCTGAACATTTTCATGAAAATACCTTATTCCTCCACTTGTTTTAAAGACTAGCTTTTATTGAAAAGCTAACCAGGGGCTAGGGATTTAGCTCAGTACCATAAGTGCCTGCCTTGCAAGTACATGGTCATGAGTTCAATCCCCCTTACAAAAAAAAAAAAAAAAAAAGAAGAAGAAGAGCAGAAAAGCTAACCTAGGTTGGAAGTTTTTGCTATTTTGACTTGAAATAACTCACACAAAGGTCTTCTGGACTTTATGGTTTATGGTAGGCAGTTTGCTGTCCTTCTATTTGGTTCACATTTATATGTAAGTTTTATTTCTCTCTGATTGCTTTTCAAATTCTGTCTTTTGACTTAATATCTGATAATTTAAAAAGGATATACCTTGGTGAGATGCTTTTCTCATCATAATGATTTAACATTCTACCAGATTTGCTAACTTGCATTTTAAACTCATTTCTCATGTTTTGAAATATTCCTTCGAGGATTAATATAAGAATGTTAGTGGACTGAACTGGGTGCTAACCATCTAACATTTAAACCTCCTGCAATTACCGCAAAATTTTTATTCCTTTTATCTAGGAGGTACTGAATCGTCTTCTCACCTTGCTTATTCAAGCATTTAATAATAACTCAATATGTGTTGTCAAAATGAGACAATCTGCCTTTACACTGGTTTTTCTGCAATGTATACATTTTGTGTAATTTTTATTTTCAGGTATTTCTCTTAGTAAAGTAAGATTATTAGTAAAATTTAGTGACATGCAGTAATCACATTCTGAATTGGCTTCAGCTAGGTATTTAATTAGCTGAGCTCACTAATCACCCACATGAACCCATTTCCAAGTGTTACCAAGTGGTCCTGAACTGGAAAATTACAAAGCTTTTAAACACAAAACACACATAAAAACATCCTGTTGGAAACAATTGAGCTTCAATCTCTCATTAACATTTTTTTTGACACCTGTGTCCTGCTTCTTTTGCTGAGCAGGTTAACTTTTTTTCTTATGGGTACAACTCATTTTCCTTTTCTCATGGGATTTATACGCTGAGTAATTTTCCATTTTCCTGTGTCAAATACAGGCACTAGATAAATGCAAGGCTCAAGATGGTATCAGTTACACTTCTTCTCATTATGTACACAGTTATGTTTCCATTGTATAATTTTTCTCATTTATTCTTTCTCTTCCATAACCCTCCAATTTAATTTGCACATTTTTACCAATTTCACAATATCAACAATATATTGTTATTTACTGACTTTCAATTTCTCATAGCACAAAAACAGTTTGAAGTTGACACGTAAGTGTCTGATTTATTTTAATTAAGAATATGGTTTCAAGGTGCATCCTTTTACCCCTAAAAGTCTCAGGGTTTTCCTTCCTTATGGCCAAGAAGTACTGCATCATGAAATAACTGTTTTTAACTCATATCTTGTTTGACGGACTTTTGGGTCATTTCCAAGATTTCACTATTCCAAAACCTGCTGCTATATTTATGTGGTATGTTGTTTTAAATTCACAATATGTACTCAGAAAGGAAATAGCTATGTTTAAAAAGCCTTTAATCCTAGGCCTTTGAGGAATCTTCATGCAGATTTCCAAAATCCCTGCCCTAGTTTACACTACCGCCAACATTGGAGAAGGGTTCTATTTCCCTCACAGTCCCAATAGCTCTTATTATTGAATGATGTGCTGATAAGAGCTCCATTTTCTGTAGATGAAATATCAGTGTTTTAGTTTTCATCTGTTTAATGATCAGTCATTGAACATCCTTTCACATCTTGATTTGTATGTATGTTTCTTTTCAGAAATATCTATTCATTGCAGATGCCAATTTTTATTGCCTGAGTCTTTAAATTTTGGGGCATCTAACTTAATTATTGATTCTTTATGTGAGTTTTGTATTACTTCTTCAGCTGCATCTCAACTGGCTAGGACATTTTCCCACTTTGGTATGTCTTTTCACTCTGTTGGTGACTTCTTTTGCTGTACAGAAGCTTTTAATTAAGGCAAGATCCAAAATGTTAGTTCTTTATATTTTCATATAATCAGGACTAGTTGTCTTGAAGTGTTTGTCTACAACTATATCTCCAGTGGGTCTACCTAGACTCTCTTCCAGCAGACTGAGTGTTTATGCCTTAACATTTAGATTATTGAACCATTATAACATTGGATTAGTCCATAGTGATCGATACAGGTTTGGTTTTAGCCTTTGATATGTGGAAAGCCAGGTTTTACTGATCTATTTATTGTTGTACTCTAACTAAAAAGTGCTGCCATATGTTCAGTATGTGCCATCACCCTGATAACCTGTTTGCTGTGTTAACCTTTGTTCCCTTTGTGAGGGACAATTGTTCCTGCAGTCAACCTCGAGTTACCTATATTCTGTCTCAACATTTGTCCCTCATTGTAAAGGACAGTTGTTTCTGGAATTAGTTGAACACAAGTTGTCAAGTTCCCCTAAAGTAGGAACTAGGTGATCACCTGTGGCAAAGCTTCCCAAAAAGGCAAGTGATTAAGCAAAGAACTCTGTCCCCAGGCCAAATAAGAAAACAAAAGGCTTCTCCACCCTTATCCCTCTCCTACCACTGCTTTGCAGTTTTTCCTTTTATAAGCCTCTCCAAAATCTAATCTAGTTGCACAGCTTTGGAAGTTCCAATGCACTGTGTGTTTTAGGCATAGGGTAATACTTCCAGGACTTACTTTAGTAATATTGCTTTTCTTTCAATTTCATTAAAGAGTTTGGCAGGTAATGGCATTAAATATTTTTCTAAATTTCTTGGGAAGTTCAAAAGTGAATCCATCTGGACCTGGGCTTTTCTTCATGGGCAAGTTTTTAATTGCATTGTGAACTTTCAGCCAGGCCTGGAAGCACATGTCTGTAATCTCAGAACTCTTGGTTCTGAGGCAGGATGATCAATGTTTGAGTACAGGTCAAACACAGCCTGGATTTATCAGACCCTATCTTAAAAAATAAAAACAGAGAAATAGATTGCAATTTCATTGATTAATAGTGTGTCACTCAGCATCTTGATTTTGCTGTGATTGTAAAATTGACAGTATGTTCTCTAGTACATTATATTCCATAAAGTACATAATATAGTTATGAAACAGATTTAATTTTAGATGATTCTACAAAACTGACAATTATTTTGTCTATTCCTAATTAAGACTTAGGCAAGCTGTAGTGTTGATTGCATTATGGGTATCTAATGCATTGTTTACTTATATTTTACTATCATAGGCTTGTAACAACACAATCCTATCAGACTTTAAGCAGCCTTTGTAATAGAAAACACAGTATAAAATACCTCAAAAATATTTCCACATTAAAAGAATTGTAAAAAGTAGGAATACGAAACCAACTGCAACACATGAATACACCTTGCTCAAAATATGTTTGAAAGCATTTGCTATCAACCATACATTAAATATAAAAACACTAAACACTACAGGATGGGGAACCTAGAGTGTGTGGGAGGTGAAACTCAGCACACATGGAAACCTTGGAATGTCGATGCCAGGTGGAAAGACCATGCCCCATATCAAAATCCCCTAAGGAAATACAAGTGGCCCAGGGAGGCCTAATTGGGCAATGCCTAGTGAACTTCAAGCAGCTGGCAGGGGCCCAAATTGAATCCCGGGCCCAGAGCATGTGTAGGTTGAAACCCAGCAGAGGGAGGAAGCCTTAGAACTTCACTTCCAGGTGGTAAGACGATGTCTTCATCTGAAATCACCCAAGGAAGACTGAAACATCCAAGGGGGCCTAACTGGGCCACACCCAGCAAGCTCCAAGCAGCTGGTAAGGGCCCAAATTGAGTCCTAGGCACAGAGCTTACATGGGTTGAAACCCAGCACATGGGGAAGCCTTGGAACTTCGTACTGAGGTGGCAAGACCATGTCCCATGCCTGAAATCACCCAAGGAAACTCAGGAGGTGCAAGGGGCCTAACTGGGCACTGCGCAGCGAAATTCAAGCAGCTGGCAGGGGCCGAAATTGAGTCCCAGGCGCAGAGCTCGCACTGATTGAAACTCAGGACACAAGGAACCCTTGGAACTTTACTCACAGGTGGTAAGACCCACCCCACATCTGAAATCACAGGAGGTCACATGGGAGTCCCCACAGGCCTAATTTGCCCAAGCCCAGTGAACTCCACTACTAGTTGTTGCCTACTGTCGACCCTGGGAGGCAAAATTGGGCCGGATGATTCTCAGCATATGGAGAAACTTTTGAAACATTGCTCAAAACCCAGAAATCCAGGAAAAATGATGAAAGAGCAAAATGCAATCTCAATCTTCCAGCCCAACCCAAGCAAGCCTAGGAGACATGGACACAGATGAAAATACAACCCATACACCCGAAATGCCAGAAATGCTATCACCTGAAATAAGAAAAATCTCAGGGAAGCCATAAAAGAACTCGAATCTAAATAGTCTCCTAAGTAAAAGAAGAAATGATAAACATCATGAAAGAAATCCTGAACACATCTAAAGAAGACATAGTTAAGAAATAAAGCAACAATGCAAAAAGAGAGAAACTTTGAATGAAGAATATAAGAAGCAAACAGAATGCATGAAGCAGACTCAAAGAGATATACAGGAAACCAAAAATTCCATTGAAAGTGAGCAAAATTACCTCAGTGAAAAAGATTTAACTTCAGACCTCAAAGACATGATTGCACATAGCGAACAGAAAAGGAAAGATCCTTTACAAGTAAGAAGGAACCAGGAAATAGCAATTCAACAGCTGCAAGATGATGCAAAAAAACAAACAAACAAAAAAACATAAGATAAGCAGAAAAGAAGGTGACAACACAAATGATATCAAGAGGCTGTTTACAGAAGGAATAGCTGAAAATTTCCCAAAAATGAGAATGGAAACTGACATGCAGATCAATGAAGCTTACAGAACTCCAAATAACCATAACCAAAATAAAACTATGCCTAAACATATAATAATCAACATCCCAGAAATCCAATATAAGAACACAATATTAAAAGATGCTAGAGAGAAGAGACAGATCACCTATAATGGAAAGCCTATTAGAATCACAACAGACTTCTCAACAAAAACAATGAAGTCAAGATGAGCATGTAGTGAAGTATTCCACATCTAAAAGGAAAATGATTTTCAACCTAGAGTGATGTATCCTGAAAAACTGTCCTTCAAAATGGATGGAGAAATAAGATAATTTGATGACAAACAACAGTGGAAGAATTTCATGACAACCAAACCAACCCTGCAAAGAATGCTGAAAGACATTCTAGACAGACATAGGAAATAACCTCTAAGCGAGGTAAACAATTAAACAGAGTGGAAATGTACACAATCAACAGCAGAAAGAGAAAATGTGAGAAGTAAACTAATCTGTATCAGTTATAACCATTAACGTAAATGGCCTAAATTCACCAATTGAAAGATACAGACTGGCAGAATGGATCATGAATCAACATCCAACCATATGCTGCATAAAGGAAATCCATCTGACCCAAAAGGAAGCTCATAGACTGAAAGAAATGGACAGATTACTAGAAACATATGAAATACCAAAGCTGACTCAACAAGAAGTAAAACTTCTGAATAACCCAATTTCAATTAATGATATTGAAAATGTAATTAAATCTTTACCAAAAAAGAAAAGCCTAGTTACACAGACATTCACTGTGGAATTCTACAAGAAATCCAAAGATTTAATGTCAATAACCTTGAAACTCTTCAATGACACTGAAAGGGAAGCAGTGCTCCCTAACTCATTCCTGGAAGAAAACATTATTCTAATTATAAAACCTATGAAAGATCCAAACAAAAAAGAGAACTACAGGCCAATTTCCCTAATGAACATAGATGCAAAAATCCTCATTAAATTTGGCTAAAAGAAGGCAGTAAATCAACAAGAATATTATAAACCATGACCAAGTGAGATTCATGCCAGGAATGAAGGAATTGTTCAACATATTCAAATCAAAAAATCTAATCCACCATATCAAAAGAGTCAAACATAATAACTACATAATAATTTCTACAGATGGAGAAAAAGCTTTTGATATGGTCCAAAACTTATTTATGATAAAACCTTACAGAAAGATGGAAGATAGTCTTTATCTCAATATGATGAAAGCCATATATGACAACCCAACAGCCAGCATCGTATTACATGGCTAGATACTAAAAGCCTTTATCCTAACATCATGAACAAGTCAAGGATGTCCATTAACACCACTGTATTCCATATAGTGCTGGTTATACCAGTGAGAGCAATTAGACAGGAGAGAGAAATAAAAGGACTAAGGATATTAACAGAAGAAGTTAATTTATCACTATTTGTAGATGACATGACAGAAGACCCCTAAAACTCCATTCAAAAATTCCTAGGTATAATAAATAAATTCAGTAATGTAGCTGGATAAAAAGTAAACAACCAAAAATCAATAGCATTTCTATACACTAACAACAAACCTACAGAGAGAGAAATAAGAGAAGCCACACCCTTTATAATAGCATCCAACAAAATAAAATGAAATAGGGAAAAGACCTATTCAGGAAAATTATCATACCCTGGAAAAAGAAATCAAAAAGGACCTCCAAAAATGGAAAGAAATTCCTGTTCATGGATAGGAAGAATAAACATTGTGAAAATGTCCATTCTCCAAAAATTATTACACAAATTTAATGCAATTCCAATCAAAATTCCACTAGTATACTGCAGAGATTTACAGAAATCACTCCTAAACTTCATCTGGAACCAGATGAGAACTAAACAAGCTAAGACATTTCTAAGCAACAAAGACAAGGCAGGAGACATCACAAACCCTGACCTGAAATTATACTATAAAGGTACTGTAATAAAATCAGTATGGTACTAGAATAAAAAGACCTGAAGATCAATGGAACAGAGTAAAAGATACAACTACAATAACATTCATATTCAGCCACATTTTCTTTGATAAAGTGGCCAAACATATCCACTGGAAGATAGACTCTTTAATAAATGTTGATGGAAAATGGGCTCTCCATATGAGTAAAACTAAAATTAGAACCATACCTATCACCGTGTACTAAAGTCAAAATGGATCAAAGATCTAAATATTAAAACAGATACATTAAATTTGTTGGAAGACAAATTAGGTAGAAATCTTAAAGACACAGGGATATGTAGTGAATTCATAAACAAGAATCAAACTGCACACAGAATACTTCACAAAATCATTAATGGGGATTTCATACTGAAAGAAATCTCCACATGGCCAAAAGAAAACCCACAAATTGGAAAATCCTAGTGAATGATCCCTCAGACAAAGGACCTCTGTCTAGAACATATAAAGAATTTTTTAAAAATGAGATCCCCAAAATTCAAAGACCCATTTCAAAAATGGGCATCTGAAATGAATACACAGTTCTCAGATGAAGAAATTCAAATGACAAATTAATACATAAGAAATGTCAAGCATCACTGTTCCTTAAAAAAACACAAAGGTTCCATCTCACTGCAGAAAGAATGGCCAGGATTAAGAAAACTACGAACAAAAACTGCTGGAGAGGTTGAGTGTAAAAAGGAACTCCTCCGCACTGTTTTTGCGAGTGTACAGTGGTGCAACTACTGTGGAGGTCAGTTTGGAGGTTCCTCAAAAAGTTGGGTTAGGAAGTCCCATTTGACCCAGCTCTCCCACTTCTGGGCCTATTCCCAGAACAACTGACAACATTATACCACAATTGTATATGTGCATCCAAGTTTATAACAACACAATTTGTAATAGCCATATCTTGGAAATAATCTAAATGCCCATCAACTGAGGAATGGATTAATGATGTGAAATTTTATAAAATGGAGTACTACTCTGCTATAAAGAATGATAACATTGAAAAGTTCATAAGTAAACAGATGCAAGTAGAGACCATACTCATAAGAGAAATAAATCAAAGTCACATATCTAAATACCTTAGTCTCCCTAGTGTAAGAAATGTTAAGAGTATATAAAATACAAAAATCGGAATGATTACAATGAAAGGAAAACAATATGCTTAAAGGGGAAAATAATGAAAAAGTAAAAAGAAACACACTTAGGATAGCTTACATGACTGCGCTGCAAACACCATAAGTTCTTGGAACAAAATAGTTAACATTCATAGGAATTGGAGATTTGTACATATTATTGTGTAGCTATCTGAGGAACTCTTGAAGATCATCATGTAAAATAAAACCCCTAGTTTTGCCCGTAACACCTTGTTTTTAAGGCCTATACTTGTCAGTGTTCTGGGCTCTTTCCTATTGTTTATGTCTTTTTCATTTCACGTTATTTTGTGAATTTGTTTTGTAGTGTCTGGGTTTGTTTTGCTTTCCCTGTAATACAGAAAAGATAGGTATATGTGTAGAGACTCATGCGTGCATATAACTTCTAAAAAGCTGATGAAAATCTGTAATATAATGCACAATGAAATGAAAGAGCTACTTTGAAGAGACACTAAGACACCCAGTGCTGATTCCATAGCATCATGATGTGAAATCCAGCAATACTATTACCCTTTGTTCAGACTGATTTTATTCTGTTTTATTTCATTTAATTTCAACATACATGAAAGTATGGACATCTATTTTGAAAAGAATGAGAGACATTATGGCAGCCATTGTTGACTTCCTGATTTTTTGGTCTTGAAGACCTAAAATACTTTCATCATCGGGTTCTGATCAGTTCCATACTATTTTGTTTTGTATGAATTCATTCTATGTGAAAATCTGGACAAATATTTGGAAGAATATAAGAGACAATATTATAGACAGTGAAGATCTCCAATTGTCCTGCTTTGGAATCTGTGTTTCTTACATTGTTACTTTGTGATCTGTTTTGTTCTGTTTAATTTTACCCTCTTTAAAAATAAAAAAAAAAAACTATATGATTGACCTTAACAATCGATGAAAAATATCATCATAGAAATGTATCCTAAAATGGTCAAGAACACAGGATAAATAAAAATTTCAGACATTTCTGTTTTTAATGAGTTGATTGATGTATGTGAGGAGTTTCATTTTTCTTGGTGCCAGTATTTTAGCTTCCTATGTAAAAACAATAATTACCAAAAATATTTTGGCATCAGTGCATTACGGAATAGAATAAAGGCATTAATCTCATAATATTCAGTAGTGACCATGCTCCTGAGAAAAGTTCCACAGATGATGAGCATTCCATTCAAAGTGTTGTCATGGTTGATACATCATAATATACATATTCTGGACAGATGACTGTAAATAATGATTTCCTATAAAGACAAGTTATGGTCATGTGGTGAAATGGGACATTGAGATGAATCTTGCTAAAGTTCCCCCCTCTTCTCCTGTAGCTATATGTTGCTGTTTTGCTAGAGGTAAGATTTACAACTATGTACTGTGAAGAATTTGTGTCATCTTGTTCTTACAGGATTCATAAGTTCTGTCTCCTTTCAAGGTTGTTATAAACTGCTCTGATTGTTTCCATGTCCTTGATTGCCCCAGTCAGTTTTCAAAGTCCAATCCCTTAGGTCTGATATCTTGAATTCTCCAACAGTGGGGTTCTGGCAATGAAAAATACTGGGCAGTATGGTTTATGTTTGGTATCTATGTTTAAGAAACTACCAGTGAAACAAATTAAGCCATTGCAATGTAAACAGAAATTTTACAGGAAAAAATAAAACTTCATGGAAATGAATGCATTGAAATAAAAGTACGCAATATATGTACATGATGCAATATACAGTGCTGATGGTATACAAGAAGGAATCTTGTCATTTAAAAAACAAAATTTGCTAATCTACAAGTTGTGTGAACATAATTAACTGTGTCAAAAACTCACGTTGACAAGTCTTTGAAAATAGATATCAATAGAAAATATAGCATCAAAATAAAAATATCATTTTTACATAGAATATAGAAAACCCACACAGTAATTGAAAAGCAAAATAGTGCAAAACTCTAATAGCAAAAGTTATAAAATTAAGATATTTAATAGCCTATTCTTCCCAAACTTAAGGATAAAATGAAAACAGCACAAATCCTAATGGTACTTGACAGTAAAAAAATACAGTTTCATCAACCATGCTTAATTAAGACATTATGGATTAAGCACAGACACTCAGATAAAAATTTCTCATTGTGGCAACTCAATATTTTTAAACACTGTACATTAATAATGTACATATGTGATGCATTATAAACCACATAATGTATGTATTTGGTCATATACTCATCTGGAATTTGATTTATTTGGAACATATCTAAGGCAACACTGACATAAAATACTATGGTATTATTTCTACAGAATTATACCAACTGAAACATCTTAACAGGGTTTTAAAATAGTCTTACACATATAGTTTCTTCCTAGTGATCCTTTTTGATTTGATATAAAATATATATAGCAATGGACTTGTGTGCACTGAATCTTTTTCCACATTGTTTATGGACATAGGGTTTCTCCCTAATGAGTTTTAATGTCTGTTTAATGAAAAAATCATTTTATACACTGCTTGCATCCATAGGGTTTTTACACTGTGGCTTCTTTCATTTATTTTACAATAATTATGTGTACTGAAAGACTTAAAAAATTGCACACGTGTAGTTTCTTTTCATTTTGAGTTTTTTTGTGTCTCTGACAATGACTCTTTCTGCTGAAACCTTCCCCACATTCCTTACATACATAGGATTTCTCTGCAGTATGAGTTCTTTCATATTAATATTTATGTGTGATCAATGGTTTTCTACACTGCTTACATACATAATCTTTCTCACCAGTATAACATCTTTCATGTAGTTTACAATTTCTGTGTACTGAAAGCTTTCCCACATTGCTTACATACATAAAGATTCTCTCTAGTGTGAGATCTTTCATGTATTTACAATAACTCTGTACTGAAAACTTTTCCATATTGCTTACATACATAAGCTTTCTCACCAGCAAGATCTTTCATGTAGTTTATAATACTCCTGTGTATGAAAACTTTCCCTCAATGCTTACGTATATAAGGTTTGTCACCAGTGTGTGTTCTTTCATGTCTTTTACAATTCTTCTGTCTATTGAAAGCTTTCCCACATTGATTACATACATATGGTTTCTCTCCAGTGTGAGATGTTTCATGTAGTTTACAACACCCCTGTGTACTGAAAGCTTTCCCACATTGCTTACATACATAAGGTTTCTCACCAGTGTGACATCTGTCATGTGCTTTACAATTTGACTTTGTAGAGAAAGCTTTCCCACATTGCTTACATACATAAGGTTTCTCTCCAGTGTGAGAGATTTCATGTACTTTACAATACGCCTGTGTACTGAAAGCTTTTCCACATTGCTTACATACATAAGGTTTCTGTTCAGTGTGAGATCTTTCATGTAGTTTACAATACCACTGTGTACTGAAAGCTTTTCCACATTGCTTACATACATATGATTTATCACCAGTGTGAGATGTTTCATGTCTTTTATAACTCCTGTGTGTACTGAAAGCTTTCCCACATTGCTTACATACATAAGGTTTCTCACCAGTGTGACATCTGTCATGTACTTTAAAATTTGCCTGTGTAGTGAAAGCTTTCCCACATTGCTTACATACATAAGGTTTCTCTCCAGTGTGAGTTCTTTCATGTAGTTTACAATGACTCTGTGTGCTGAAACCTTTCCCACATTGCATACATACATAAGGTCTCCCACCAGTGTGAGTTATTTCATGTCTTTTACAACTGCTCTTTATACTGAAAGCTTTTCCACATTGCTTACATATGTAAGGTTTCTCACCAGTGTGAGAGCTTTCATGTAGTTTAAAATAATACTGTGTACTGAAAGCTTTCCCACACTGCTTACATATATAAGGATTCTCACCAGTATGAGATCTTTCGTGTAGTTTACAATAATACTGTGTAGTGAAAGCTTTCCCACATTGCTTACATATATAAGGATTCACACCAGTGTGAGTTCTTTCATGCTTTTGATAATAACAACTTTTCCTGAACCCTTTCCCACATTGCTTACATACATACTTTTTCTCTTCTATATCAATTCTTTCATGTTGTTGAGAAATAGTATGTGTGCTGACAGCTTTCCCATATTGCTTACATGCAGAGGGTGCACCCCAACTGTGATTTGTTTGATAGATCTGAACATCACTGGGCTTCCTGGAGGCATTCATAATTTTTGGACATGCAAATATCTTGTCTCTAAGATGAGTTCTTTCACTAAGACCAGAGGAGGATTTCTCACACTGATCATGTTCACGTGGTTTCTTGCCAGCTTCTGTTCTTGCAGGATTCTGAAAGGACTGCAAATCATCACAGTATTTTCTACTTTCATTACATTTAAACAGCTTCCCTTTGAGTTCAAAATATTCGTCTGTCTTTACTGAGGTGTGAGCTATGATGGGCATGTTTAGTGAAAAAGGCCCAATCAGAAGCTTTCTACAAGTAAGACTTTCAACTGGTTTTAAACCACATGGTTTCATATGCACATTAGCATCCTGAGAGCAAAGAAAGCATTCTTTATGCTGATTCCAACCTTTATATAGATGGTATTTCTCAACATCTTCATATCTGTAAAAATAAAAAAAAAACAAATAAAACACCTTTCCATATCAATGATTTAACAGATAAGAATTTTGATAATGAATTAAAAGAATACATATGAGGGATCTTTGGAGAAAGCTTTTCCCTAAAGACTGTTATATTTTTGGAAATTTTTCAGTTGGTATATTTTATAAGAGTAATTTTAGTTTTATTTTGAGTTACATATATATGCATAACACATGTTTATTAATTTTAACACCATTTCCTATTTACTCTTTCTGCTCTACTTTTATCCCATTTGTCTTTCCCATCTCTAAAATATCACTTTCCTTTATCTATTACCTCTCATCCACAGCTACACAAAACACCTAATAACAACGTCATACATGTTCATGATGTTGACGATAAAGCAACATTTTTTTGTATTACACATGAGACAGTGTCACTTGTATGATTTCACTTATAAATCCATTTCTTATGTTGGAATATTTTTGTGTTTACTTTTCAGACTATACATACTCAAGTTGCATATAGTTTTGGAGAGTATTTGTGAAATTAAAGAAATTTAAAGATGGTGTTGGTTTTTTGATTTTAGTCCTTTTCCTTATGTGGTGTCTTAAGGCTTATACATTTTTCTTGAAAGGACAAATTACCTTAGATTTCTACAGAGGTTACTGCACTCTTCTTCCACTTTCTTGTTACCCAAGAGTCTTCCTGAATTATAGACACAGAAGTATAAGTGGTCACTACATTATTACATAAAAATTAACACATGCCAATTAGATTCATGATATAATATAAGCAGGCCATTTAATTTTTCTAATTGTTTTCACATTCTATTTAATGAAACTGCACTGAAGAGCAAAAAGCCATCTCCTCTAAGTGTATCAATAAGAACAAGGTTTCATTCTTACCTATAGTCATGATGCTCTGAAAGGTTTCCTCCATCACATCTCTGTAGAGCTGCTTTTGGGATGCATTCAGCAAAGTCCACTCCTCACTGGTGAAGGTCACAGTCACATCCTCAAACGTCACTAATTCCTAGAGGATCATAAATATATTTGAGCAAAGTGTGGTGATACACGTCTGTAATCCCAGCACTCAGGAGGCTGAGGCAAAAAGACCATCATTACTACAAAACCATTGTGAGCTACAGAGTGAGTTCAACATCTGCATGATTTACACTGTGAGACTCTGACTGAAAAGAAATGAAATAGAGTAACAAAAAAAGCTGCTTCATGGTCGCTTTTGACAAAAAGGAGTGTATATAACTGCAGTTTGTGCAGTTATCATAGTGTTAGATTCTGCACTCCAATAAAAGCTATATATCACACAACTTATCTCTAATTCAGATACTTATTGAGAGAAAGAAGCCAGCAAGCATGCCTTTCAAAATGGTCACTGCCTATTCCCAACAGTAAAAATTACAAGATTTTGGACACAAAATGTATAATATATTATGCTGAGCAGTATTATAATCATATATTTTTATAAACAACAGGCATTTTTCATAGGGAAATTTCTTGCTCAGAAAATGTTATTGCCTATCACCACCATCCACTGCTTTCCCATGCTGTATGTACTTTCACGTGCTCTTCTAATAACAGAACACCATTCTCCACTTAATTACTGATATGTCTGCAGACCTACAATTGGCTCTTTTCACCTGCTTTTATACTGCTTCTACACTTTGTCCTACCTCATTCAGTGTGTCAGGTTTGTATTTTTGAATCAGGTTTTTCCCTTGTAGATAAGACTGGGCTTGAACTGATAGTGTAGCCCAGGGTAAAACTTTAACATCCAAGAATCCTCTGATATCAACCTCCTGAGTACTAGCAATGCACTCATGTGGCACCACACCCAGCTAGAATTTTCATTTTTTGAAATAATATCTACAAACCATTCATGCACCATCGCAATTATGCAAGAGAACTTGCTTTTTCTACCTTTCCATGCATACACAAAGCATATGCAGATGCCCTACCTCAAGGAGATTCAGTTTGTATTTATATTAACCCCTAATGAAGGTTGTGCTTTTGACATTTTTTTCACCCTTCTTTTTTCCAGTGAAAACGTTATTCCAAATTCATGTCAGATTCTAGGGTGAAAAAATGAGATAACATCTCAGCTGATGCTATGAGACTCAAAAGTAATTATAGCTTTGTAGCAGTAAATGTGCCAGCCTTTCCTACATCAAGTTAGCTCTTGCACCACTAATTGGGGAGCCTCTGTGCCTGGTGCAAGCCATGCCTGTAAAGGTTTCCTTCCATGCACTCTGCTATAATTCATGCTTACCTCTCCAATTAGTACTGATACAACTCTAGGGCATTCAGATTCATGGGCTATTTTCCAGTAAGAACTACTGGTAATCCCAGATCTCTGGGAATGCAGATCTTTCTGTCTTTTTATTTAAATCTCTGGGATAAATTGCTGGATGGGAGAGAGAACACCATTGACAGTTTTCAGTAGGACCCTAAATCTAAACTTTTATAAAATTTAGCATACTATAACTTGGTGGCCTAGTTTCCACACTTTTACTGAGACAAAGTATTAAATACACTCTGAGGAATTTATATTGCCCTACAAGTTCAAAACCTTGTCTGCTGGATCTAAGGACCAAACTAGCTGGCAAAATAGAAAGGTGAAAGCAAAGTATTTAAGTCATGGCAGTGTTCATAGAGGGAAAGTTGGTACGATCTGCAAACAAGAGTATAAACTTTTTTCATGCCCTGTTCTTTGTGATAGGACTCCAAAAATTCCCCATTTCCTAACACCACATTCTAATACTGAAATCAACAGTGAGTGAATTCACTGAAGAGGAGAGGGCCCATTCAAACCAATCAACTTGCAAGGTCATGTGATATTTAGAAGGCATTGTAGATATGAAACACAGTAACTGGTCTGCTGCTGGGAGAAAAATCAAGGCACAAAATGCAGCAGTATCACCCCCACTGAAACCTCGCACATGCATCATGAGTCTCAATCACTGCACTCACTGCATGATGAGGAATGGGACTTTACATGCACAACCCTTGTTTATTGTTTCTCATTTGCTATCATCTGCATATATAGTGTGTTTGAGACCCAACTGATCTTTTATGGTCTATAGAAAGAAAGGCTAACAAGCTAACTGGCCTGGAGTGCACCAACCAGCAAAAGTTATTTTTAGAAACATTACCCAAATCAGAAAACCATTTGGCAATGAGACAAAGATTGCCGTCGTACAATCCAGTTTGTTGCTAAGACAGCATTTGTCCTGCATTCGGCATACAATAAATAAACTTTGACACACATTACTTTAATCCTAACTTTCTGATATTCTACTAGATGCATTGGTGTTGAGACAAGGGCAGTGCTTCTGCCTCATTTCTTCATTTCTTCACTGCAGAGAGAATAAAGGATCCAGAGAAAGGCAGGAGAACCAACAATAGTACAGCAAGATGAACCAGTTTGTGTGTCCCTTGGATTACTACCTGAGTTAGAAGGAAAATTAGAATGGCTCTGATTCATGCAGCATTACTCTTCCCTCTCTTATCACACTATTGGTACTACATAGCCTGTAGTCCAACACTCCAAGTTAATTATAGTCTTTTCATCAGACAAGAATTCATAACTCTTCTGCACTTGGCCATTTAATTTCTCCTTAACCTTCCTAGTGAAAAAGCCCACTGGAAATGTTTTTCTTATCAGCAATGGTTCAAGCAGGTTTTTCAGATAGACAAGAAAATATATTCTCACATATGGTCAACTTTTGGGGCAAGAGTTTAGAATCTATGCCTCAGTCTGCTGACTAGTTCCAATGGTAGAGCTTTTAGGGTGAAGAATTCTCAGTTCAGGGAATAGGGGACACATCATATTATTGATAGCTTAACTTCTACTTATCAATTGCAGGTCCAGAAAAATCTTTATTTGTGTGTTTATTAACTTTGAATTTGGTACTGTCACTAGCTTCTCTCCTGATTTACTTCCAAGACACTCACCCTAAACACTAACACCTTTATTAGGAGTTTCAGGACACCCCTTAGAACACTTCTGTAAGCCTATGACCTGTTCCTGTGTTGAAGTACATTTCAGCCACACATTTCTTAGAATTCCTGAAATCTCTACTGCACTTTTGTGGAGACATTCTTGTGCAAGCCCTGGAGAACTCCTGTTCTCACTAGAACAGAGGCTATCTAATGTTTCCCTTGTTAGGATTAGAAATCCTAGAGAGATGATTTGGAACAGGACTGTCATTCCTAACTGGATTTATTGAAAAATCCTTCCCACTTCTTATCTTCATCATCAAGAGCTTCAAGATGGACTAAGAAATGTTATCCAGAGACCTGTAATAATGAGGCCTCTTAGCAAAAAATATCAGTTTTTATACCAATTATATTATTAGGGTAACAAAAGTTCCAAGCCTAAGGTAATTGGTACAGGACTTCCATCATTAATATAATGTTATAACTTATTCATCCTAATCCCAGCTTCTTACAAAAGGTTCTCTATCACAGATATCAAAGACCCAAAATCCTTTTAAGTTTAGGGAAGTTAAATTGTACTCTAGGAGGATATCTGCTGTCTTTCAGCAGTCGACCCTTCAGATGGCAGCCAAAACAAAGACACAGGAAAACACAAGGACAACTAAAGAGTGAGGAAATCTGATACACAGTGTGGAACATTTCTTTTCATTACAATTCAACCTTAATTTCTTTTTTGATTTTTTTATTTTAAAGAGAGCACAAAAAGCAGAATGAATCAAAGCAAACAGAACAGGAAAATGCAAGCCACACAGCACTTCACAACAAGACAACTGGACATCAATAGTAGCTAACATAAGGTCTCTTTTTTTTGAAATAGTGATTCAACCTTAATTTCAAATTGTGGCAGAGATGCAATCTTCAGCTGCATTTAGATTCACATAAGTCCACATGAACCACTACTAGTGTCATCAAGATGCTATAACTGAAAAATTGTATCTCCAACAACTTTATCAGTATTGCTAGACAATTCACAATGCCCACAATTTAAAAGGGAATAAGGTGCTTTGCTCCAAATTTTATAGAACTTTCAGTCCAGAGGGTCTGGGAAGATGGAGGGACAGTGAGCAGCAGAGTAAACAATCTTACTGACAGAAACAGTACAGATGCTGGTATAAAGCATTGTTGGGGAAGCAAGAAGGAAGGAAGTAGGTCCCCTTGACCCAGGAAGACCCTAAAGTCAAAATTGAAGCCCAAAGAGAGAATAAAAAAAGAAAAACTTAAAGAGCAGAAGGCCATAGGTGGGAGCACACTCACCGGGAGCCAGAACCACCATGTGAGAAAAGCTATTGAAACCAGAGGATGCACAGTCACAGTTAGTGTGATGGTTCACAAACAAAAGCAGCACTACATGGAGATGTGACTACAGAGGGGAGCAGCAGACTGGAGAATTGCACTGGCTGGCACTGAGTGTTGGGTCTCAGTTCTCTTGCACAAGTTGGCAATCCACCAGGGACCATTTAGAAGTTTGGCAGGGAAAGTCTGGAGCCAGAATGGCAGCTGGTTTCATTCAGACACTCTTAGCTCAGAGCAGACTGGTGGAAATTGCGTGGAATTGAGTCCTATCCATGTATACAAATTTCAACAGCCATCACTAGGGTTTCCTAAAATTATCTGCAACTAGCTCTGCATACCTATGTGTACTATGTGTAGTGAGGACTTCCGGCTGTAACCAGCCTGGGAGGAAGGAACAGACTTCCCCACCTTGTTTGCTCTCCAGCAGCCACTTGTAAGCCACAGCATTTTCGTAAAAATAGCAAACAGACCTAAAGATACTAGCATACCCAATGGTCACCATCAATACACCTAGCCTTCATGGGCTGGAAAAAGCAAATAGCCTTGCTTCAGAGAAATTGTACACAACACAGGAAGAGCCAGGGACCCTACTACCCACTTTTACAGAAGAAACCAGGAACATGAGAAAAGGAAGAAACAAAAGGCAGCCTCTGGCCTCCCACCCAAGCAGTACTGGTCAAGGAGATGTAAACACAGAAGAGACAGGGAGTAACACTCCTAAAG